CAACATCTTGCATTACTCCTCCAGCCTTGGCTGTGAACGGTTGGGCACCCATGTGAAAGGAGAGGCTACAGGGGCTCAGAGTTCCTTGAGGAATTGATACTGGCACCATGCTAAGCATGCAACATACATCGTCACATTGTATGCCCCTCCCCCCATTTTTAAAAACTTGGTCTAGTGCTCATGTGCAGTACACAAATATGAGTACTGCTTGGTGAATTTTTATATATGCACACACTCATGGAACTATCACCTGGATCAAGGTCAGAGAATTTCTAGCATCGCAGAAGCTTCCCTCATCTGCTAAAGGTAACTACTCTGCTATCTTCTCTAAATTAGTTTTTGCCTGTTTTCAATCTTCATTTCAGCGGACTCAGGCAGTAAGTACTCCTGCAGTTTCTTTTGTTCAACATTATGTCTGTGAGATTCGTCCATGCCGTTGTGGAGGTCAGTAGTTTCTTTTTCTGCGCTGTTTACTCTTCCACTGGGGGAATATACGAGGTTATTTTTTCATTTACAGTTGGTGGATTTGCTGTGAACATTCTTAAACATACATTTTGGTGGACGTTAGAACGTATTCCCGTTGGGCATTTGTCCGTAATTGGCATTACTGAGCCATTGGGTATATGTATGTTTAGCTTTAGTAGATACTGCCAGTGTTCTGGTGTGCCGACCTGCACTCCCACCAGCTACGTGGGAGACTCGCAATTGTTCGTCCTTGCCAACAGTTGGTATGGCCAAGCTATTAAGTTTGGCCCTCCTGGTGACTAAAATAATTAATTTTCACAACAATCCTGTGAGGCAGGTACTGCTATAAGCCCCATCCTACAGATAAGAAGACTGAGGCTACAAAGAGGAAGCCAAAGACCCCACCCCGACAACACAGGATGTGGGTGACAAGTGGGCAGCAGCGGGTCTGCGGGATCCTTGTGCACCTGTGGCCATATGTAATTTTAAAGTCAGAAAACGTGGGTATGCCAAAACGATAGGTCTTTTATTTTCTTATTTCTGTCCATCTATTCCATTTGATAGCAGAAATGCAATGTGCTTACTTCCTGGCCCAGTGAAGTGAGTGTATGATCATTCAGGCATTTCAGGGGTACACTGAGTCGCATTGAGGGTTCTTGTCCCTCTTCTGTCTAGGGTCAGAGCTCCATCCTGCAGAGCTTATGTGGTCATGGCATGGAGTGGGTGATGAGGGTTGGAGGTTGTTTGGTCATTGGTCATCATCCATCACCTGTACTGCTCAGGGAGGCAGGCACACCCCACCCTGGCTGGTTGTGAGTTGTCATCCTTGGTTTCTGCTCTGCTGTGGCATGCCTTCTGGCTTGGACAGTGTAGGTTCACCTAGGTTCACCTAAGTTCCTTTGATTACATCTCACAAGCCCCTTCCTGGTCATCTATCCCCCCTTTGAGCAACTTCCATGCTGTTTTAGGGCTTCAGAACACATTTAGAGGGTCTCTGGGATCCCCGCACATTAAGCATGAGCCTGAGACACTTCCAGGCCTACCTGCCTAGGCACACCCAGCTGCTATTTCTACTTAACTGATCCCGTATTTTCTCATCATGGAAGACCTTAGATATTCCTCACAGACCAAGGCATAGATTCTCTCTGCTCTCAGAGCCCGCAAAACTTTCTGGGGTTCCTAAGCTCTCCCTATTCCTGAGCAGAGAGGATGGGGGGAGGGCAATGCTCTCTTTGCTGCAATTTTCCCCCCACCCCTCTCCTTTTGGAAAATTGGTGCTGGTGTCATCATACCTTCTTTTCTCTAACTCTGCTGTTGCTGGCATACAATTCAAGATTTGAGTCCTTCAGCTCCTGGGCTTTCAGTGCTCCAAAAAAACCTTCTTGCTCTGAAGAGTCGATTTATTCTAAGAGTTCATTTTGCAAATCAAGATCCAAGAATTTGACTTTTTCTGCATTCAGCGCTCTCTCTTCTGGAGTAATAAGGTGATCTGATTTTTAGATGGAAGGCGTAGAGTTTGGAAAAAGAAGAAGGAAGGTCAGAGATCTTGTGGGGACTGGATTACTTCTTAGCTTACATGCTGTCCTGTGGGCTGGAACACACCTCCAGAGTTCAGTCTGTCCCGTGGGTAGGTGCCTGACAAAGGGAGTGTGAACTGACTTCTGGGCAGCAAAGTCCCATTTTAGATGCACTGAGAGAGCTGGTGCTCATAGGAGTTCTCCAGGGAACACTTAAGCAACAGTGAAACTCAATTTACAAAGGGAGGTAATCTCTGGAAATGAATTCACCATAAAAAGCAGATTTTCCCACCTGGACTTGAATGCGAGCCCTTTAGCTTCGTATGCTGCAAACAGTAGTAAATCAGAAAATATTCCTGGCATTTGAGGGATGCAGCTAAAATTCAGTATCTGGGCTGTGGTGGCAGTAATATAGCTGGGGCTGGAGCCTCAACCTTGTTCCACAGTGGCTGTGTGACAGTGGGAATGTCTCTTCTCTTTGATTTTATTTCCTTTCTCTATAGAACAAAGAGCTTTGATTACACGGCCAGCTTTGAAGCCAGAGGAACCCCCCCTTTCCTCGCACTCTTACTCACCAAGGGGACTCTATGGGGGCCGGTCCTTCCTGACCTGGGCTGATGATTATGGATAAATGAGTGGGGATGAGTGGTCACCAGCCTGCACCTGACAGTCCTGTAACAGTCTTGTCCATCCTGAGAGGAGAGTTTGAAGGACGGAGGGCTGATTCGGAAAGTGTGGGGCTAAATGAGTCACCTTTGACAGACACTGCTGGCCCCCTCTTAGCAGTAATTCATCACTGAGACCCTACTACAGAGGTTTCTCAATTACCCTGGGCTGAAGAATCACTTGGAGAGCTTGTTTAAAAGGCAGAAAAATCTGCCGCCAGGGAATCAGATTCATTAGATCAAGAGTGGACCCAGGAATCTGCATTTTTCTTGACTCGATGCCAATTATTTTTTGAAGTAAAACATTTTTTTAAAGAAGATTTTTTTATTCATTTGACAGAGATAGTGACAGAACACAAGCACGGGGAGCAGCAGAGGAAGAGGGAGAAGCAGGCTCCCCACTGAGCAGGGAGCCCCATGTGGGACTCAATCCCAGGACCCTGGAATCATGACCTGAGCCAAAGGCAGACACTTAACCGAGCCACCCAGATGCCCCAAAGTAAAACATTTTTGAATATGTAATATATTCATATGGCTCGAAATCCAAAAGGTAGAAAAGAGCATAAAGTGAACAAATCACCCCAACCGCTGTACCCCAATCATCTAGTTCCTTTCCCCATGAGGTAAACAATTTCTTGTGTATCTTTCCTGAGATAATCAATGAATATAAGAGTATATGTGAATAAATGAAATCTGCATTTTTTTTTAAGATTTTATTTATTTATTTGAGAGAGAATGAGAGCACAAGAGGGAAGGGGATCAGAGGGAGAAGCAGACCCCCCGCTGAGCAGGGAGACCGATGTGGGACTCGATCCTGGGACTCCAGGATCATGACCTGAGCTGAAGGCAGTCGCTTAACCAACTGAGCCACCCAGGCGCCCTGAAATCTGCATTTTAAAAACAAGCATCTCTTGGTGATTCTAACATTGGGGAGGTCCCCAGACATATTTGGAAAAATACCCTTCTTCATGCTGGGTCCTCAGGCTGGGTGTGTGACCGGGCATTGCTCAGTCCTTCCTGCTCAGGATGTTTAACAAGAGTTTGCAAGGTGCTACCTTGTATGCCACGGGCAAGGGAGCAAAGGGGTTGCAGTGGGCCTTGCCTAGGGACCTGAGTCGAGCCGCAGAGGGCAGGGCTGTGTTGTGGGGAAAAAAGTATGAGAGCTGTAGGTCCTTTCATCTCTCTGCCATCAGCTGTTGCACCTGGCAGACACTGGATACCACAGCTTGCAGACAAAGACCTGGTAACCCAAGAAGCTGCTTGGCCTCCCTGCCCAGTCCCATCCCAGAAGAGCTGCTGGCCTCTGGTTTCCTTAGGGGGCCCTGTGTGCAAGTGTCTTTTGTCTCCCTGGCGTCAGGAATCCCATCACATGCCTGGTGGTTAGGTGAGACAGGCGCCTCAGTCTCCTAGGGAGGGGTGGCAGTGTTCACCCAGCAGCAATAGGGTGGAGTCCCACAGAGCCCCTGACTGGATGGCATGGGGCTGGGGGGGCAGTGTTCTGCCACAAACTCTAACGCCTCTCCTTTAGCGTTGGCTTTATCCCACGGACCCAGCCGACTTCAGGGAGCATCCCATGCAAGAGTTCTGTGCGTGCTGCACCCTGGCTGCCTGGTTCCCCCCCAGAATCCCGCAGCACTGCCTCACACACACGTTTGCTCAGTACTCGGTGCTCAGTACACGACTGCTGAGTGAATGGATTTTCGCTGCCAGTGAGACCTCCTTTCCAGACTTGGGGTTTTGCTGCAACAATGGTTCTTGTGGCCTGGAGGCCTCTGCAGAAAACAACGGTAGGAAACAAGGCTGAAGAGCACTACACTGTGTTGTTCTGAATCTGTTCTGAGGTATAAAGCTGGGAAAGGGCAACAACACTTCACCTCACGGGTTATTGTGGACAGTGAGCTAACGCATGCTGGGCTCAGGGGATGTCGCCGAGGGCCCGAAAGGAGTCTCAGAGCGGTAACCGCCACTGCCCATCTGTCATTCTTCCTCCAGGCTCCCTTTCGGCGTCATGAAAGGAGAGCCACAGCCCCTCCCCCACACGAAGCCCTCCGCGCCACACACCCACTCGCAGTTTCTAGGCTCTTCAGGGCTGGGGTCTTTAACTCGGCTTCGGCCAGCCCCTGCCTGAAGGACCCTTGCAGGCTGCGGAGTACCCCAGCCAGTCCCGCGTTCCTGCTTTAAAGGACAGCGAGCCGCGCTTGCGGGGGTGGGGCCGGGTGGGGCGCGGGTGGCGGGGGGGTAAGAACGAAGCCCTGCCCCGCGCCGTCGCGCCCGCCGCCGGTCCGCGCCCCCGCCCCGTCCTCCGCCTGCGTCAGGCGATCTCGGCGGCCAGCCCCGCCGGCTCTGTGACGCCACGGGGCCCGGGGTCCTCGGCGCCTGCGCCCGCTCCTATAAAGGCCGCCGCCGCGCCGCGCCGCCGTAGTGGCCTTGTTCTCCGCCTTTCTCTTCTCGTAGCTGAGGCCGCTCTGTTCTTGTCAGCCTACGGCCCGCAGTCTGCCTGAGACCGAGCACCGTGAGTGGCCGCCGACCGAGCGGGAAGGGGCGGTGGCGCCGTGGATTGCCAGCTGGGTGGCCGCACGGTTGCGGCTTTGGCCTGCCGGAGGCGGGAGGCACCCGGGCCTGGCCTCCCTCAGGCCCAGTGGAACCCGGCGCGGACCTGTTCTCGGGAGGTGCCGGCGGGCCCCTCTCCTGGCCGCGCGTCCTCACGGCGCCTCGTGGGCGCCGGGGCGGGAGAAGATGCGAGCAGGGCCGGGAATTGGCCCTTCCTCGCACGGGGCGAGTGTCCGCCTGCGCGGAGCTCGGTTGCAAGGCCCAGGCTGCGGCCCGGAGCCTCCCTTGGCCCTGAGCCTGCCGGCCTCGGGGACCCAGGGCGGGGATGGCGGCGGGGCTTTCAGTGGAGGTCCCCAGGCTGTCGTGAGCGTGGGCGTGTGTGCGTGTTTGTTGTTTCGGTGTCCGGAAGGAGCATGGCGGTGGGACTCTGGGAGCGCTGGATTTTTCGCTCCCACCCTTTCTCTTCCTTTTATCCGGCGTCACTAGTCACCGGTCCTGGCTAACTGTGCTTGGGCCGCATGTTTGCCCAGCAGGCTGCCTGCGCCTTCAGAATTTCTCTCTCCATTATTTTGCCATAGCTTGGAGTTGGTGAAACAACTGTTGAAATAGCAGATGTTCTTATGGTAGTGGCGTGACTTTTAGGAGGCCCAACTCTTTCAAAGCCAGACACTTCAAGTTTTACAGGAATTGGAGGTTTACCTGGATAAAGATCTCAGGTCTGGCTTTTGGGGTCATGAATTTTTCATCAGAGCCTCACAATAGAATGTATCTGTGTCGTAGAGCAATGCAGACTTGTCCATTCTGCTTTCAAAAAGGTGTCAGAATTCGGGTCACTGAAAACACAGGTTTTTCTTTACGTTGTTGATAGAAACTACTTCATGCCAGTCATGGAGGGTGATTGATTTTCAAGATAAGGAACTTAAGGAATTGTCTTGAAAGCATGTCAGAATCTCGTCCATTATCATCATTACACTTTTGCACTGAATTCTAGCTCTATGACATTAAAAAAAAACTTCTCTTTGAGTATTAAATTTGGGATCACAAAGTGCATTCAGTTACAGATTAACCCATTGCCTCCCTGCTTATTTAATAAGATCTCAACTCCCTAAAGAGTAACTTAATACAGGAATTTGACTATGACTAAGCAGATGTGGTTATTTACCATGAGTTATTTGAAAGAAGTATGAAATGATCATCGTGCTTAAAAGTAATTTTATCAATTATATTGCCAGACTTGTCTTTCTGTAGTATTCATTCCAGTACTATGGAATATAAAAAGAACATAGAATGTTTTGTAATTAAAAATTGGATTCCTGTTAAAATATTTCTTTGGGGGATACCTTTTGTTACTGCCTTGTCACAGGGAAGGTCCTCTGCTCTGGCCCTTCTCCATTGAATAGGATAACTGCATTATTGGCAAGCACTAAGCAACATGGAGGAACAGACATATTTGTGAACTGAAAAGTGAAATCTGAATCTTTCCAACCATGGATGAGTGAGAGCAGGATATTTCAGTGGCTGATTTTAAAACATAGCTTTACCTTTTTGCTTTCTTTCTCTGACAGCTTATTTGGGGAATGGAGATAATTGCCTAAGAAAAGCAGAATGAATATATTAACTGATTTAATGGAGGCTTTGATCCTAAAATAGGTGCAGTGAATGCTTTAAAAGCCAAATTCTACACTCTCGAGTTAATAGTGACATTGCAGGATTATGAATACCTGAGAAGCATGGGCCTTTAAAATCTATATTTGATATTTGAAGGGATCATGAAGTAATCGTAGAGTCAGGTGTTGCTGCCCTTCCTCCTTCCCTCAAGACTCTGAAGATAAATTGATGGCTTAGAACATTTCATTCTAAATAAGTTTTGTTTTTTGCTAGAACTCAAGTCCTTTGTAGTTAATTGCTTAACTAATTTTTATCTAAGAGGTGCCTTTTCCCCAATGACTCAGAATTAATCTGAGTTAATAAATACATTTTTGAAGCAAGTAACCTGTAATTTCTATGAGAATTTTAGCAGAAGAACTCAAACTCAGTAATGAAAGATAAAAAGGACTGTTAAATTTAAGTACCTTATTTGGTTTAGCAGATTGGATGGACATTTGTTTATCCTTAAAGATATTATTATCTTATATATTTTACATTGATGCAAACATAAAATAAGAATATTCTCATACACTCTTTGGATCACAACTCATTTTTCACTGGTAAATCTCAGTATTGGAAAATTTATATCTTACTTTGTAGCTTTATTTTGGACTGACTACTCTCTGGTTTGCAGGAGGTTTACTGTGGCAGCTAACTATTCAGATGAGAGTAGTCAGTATTTAGTGAAAGCAGAAAGGCAGGCAAAGGGGTGCCTCGGTGATGCAGCCCGTTAAGCCTCCGACTCTTGGTTTTGGCTCCAGCCATGATCTCAAGGTCATGGGATAAAGACCCACATGGGGCTCTATGCTCCGCACAGAGTCTGCTTAAGATTCTCTCTCCCTCTGCCCCTCCCCAGTGTGTGCGCACACGTGGTCTCTCTTTCCTGCTCTCTTTAAAATAAATATATCTTTAAAAAAATGCAGGCACAGACTAAATGAGTTTATTTTAAATATATTTCGCATTCAAAATATAGGATATAACTCTTAAATTTATACCAGTAGTGAGTTCAGTAGGGCAAGCCTTAAAAACTTGTGTTCCTAGGAGTTATACTTTGAAAAAATGGACAGCAACATTTCTATGCTAGCCTGTGAATAACCATTTGCAGAGTTTTACAGGGTTATATAGATACTACATGGCCTTAGGATTTTATAGGTAATAAGTTAGAGGTCTTCTAAGAACAGACTGTAGTTTATGAAATGTATAAAACTAATCTCTCTTAAATTTCAAATTCAATATAATACCTTTTTTTAGATGCCTTCAATTAAGTTGCAGAGTTCCGATGGAGAGATATTTGAGGTTGATGTTGAAATTGCCAAACAGTCTGTGACTATCAAGACCATGTTGGAAGGTAAGTTTATTAGAAAACCTGGGTCAGGGGAGAGAGGAAGTAATTAGTTGGAGATAACCTGTGAACATTGAATTTATACAAGTCATCACAATTTGTCACTAAATGCTCAGGAGTATGAAAGGGTCATGTTTACATTTTTTAAATTAAAGAATTAACTGCATCTTTCTGATAGAGGACATCCTTTCTGCATTGTTTGAATTAATGGACTTTTTTCATATAGATAAGACCATAAGCTAATACTGAAGTGATTTCTAAGCATCAGACAATGACCCAATTCTGTTTCAAGTGAGTATGGATTCAGTTTCTAATGAGAAAAATAAAAGGCTCTGAAAAAGAGATACCTTCCTATATGTATCTAAATACAGTGCTTTGTTTCAACAGAGAAGTAAGCTGAGTAGGTGGTAAACTGAGACGTCTTTTTTTTTTTTTTTTTTTAACCAAGTTTTCCATTTTGTCCATTTTGTCATTCCTCTGAAATTGCTGCAAAGCATATACACAGCACATTGAAGAAATAAGGTTAGAAAACAGGTCCGGAAACATTTTGAAACTTTAACTAGTTAAAATCAATCTTAATATTAACCAGTGGGCTGACGGACATTAATAGTATGTGGAGACATTACAATTCAGTTTCTAGCATTGGTGAAAAAAAATTAACAGTAATAAAACTGTTCTTTAGTATTCAAATATAAAAGGTTTTTATGTAGCTTATGCTTAAGTGAAAAGTTATGTGCCAAGCACTAGCTATGGGGGTGAAAGGAAGATAAGTGAGAAATAGTCTTTGCTCTTACAGAATTTAAAAAGAAGACAGACTGTCACATGGTGTAATTAGTGTGTTAGTATAGTGTGCTGAGTGGTGCTGGGGGAACGTCTTGGCTGATGTTATTTTTCAAGCTTGTGGAGAGACTACAGTGGGTAGTACTAATGAGGTGATAATTTCAAATCTAGTAAAATTAGGGTGTTTTGGGAGATTATTCTGAGGTAAAGTAGACAAGATGTGTTAGAGAAAAGTAGAGTCGAGGTTTTTGGTTGGGGTTTATTGATATGGAATGAGATTGTGTTACTGTAGTTGGTAGAACTGAAGAATGGGTTTGAGAGAAATGGGAAAAAAATGACTTTGAGGTGACCATGTTAGGTATGTTTGATCCCCCTGCCCAGAAGATTTTTGTAACAGTCTGCTAGGCAGTTGAATATGTGGATCTTGGCCTCTGAGCTGTGGACTGCTGGAGATACATAGACTTTGTGTGGTGGATTATAGGAGTATTTATCTATGGGAGTAAATGAGGTTGGCAGTCAGCTATATTGGAATGGCAGGCAGGTGGTGTTTCTCGAGTAAAAGTCAGAAGTGGAGAATCGGTGGAGTAAGATTTATGGAAGCCAAGGGAAGAGGGAGGCATTTTGAGGTGACCAGAATGATTATCACGTTCATATACTGCACAGTTGTCATTTGGAATTTCATAGTAAGTTAGAGGATTTCTTAATGGCGTTTATTAGGTGTGGTAGAGGCAAAAGCTAAATTGCAGAGGGTGTGTCTTTTCTAAGCTGGTGACTTCTGTTTGCTGATAAAAGCTGAACCTGTAACTCTTTTTTGGTAATTAGTACCAATCATGTGGCACTTACAGTCTTGTATCCTGGTAACTTAAATAAAGAGATCACTTCTATTAAGTTGTAAACTCCTTGGTACATCCCACAGTCACTGTTCACCAAGTACCTGTTGAATGAAGAACTATGGTATGGTCACTAATAAAGAGTGAAAGCAATCCAAGTGTCCCTAAAGGCAGGTGAGTAAGGCTTTATCTAGAAGATGTAGAAACTGATACCCAAATTTGCTGCCTGAATACTTGCTTTGACAATGGCAATGTTCTTTATTTCATCTTAGTTGGTGTCTGGCACACTAATCTGTCCTGTGCTGCTTCAAAGAAGCATTTGCCAGCGTGAGAACATAGGGCTCCGTGAAGGTTTTCCTCGCCTCTGATCACCGAAGCAAGGGGAGCGATAGACAGCAACAGTTAAATGATTCTCTTCTTCCATAGCCTTTCGGTATCAGAGGGTGAATGGTTTTAAGTACCACTGGTTTATATAGAATTCTGACTGGTTCAGGATTGGAGTCTATTGAATTTGGCAACTTACTGCTTTTCTTGTTTTGCATCTGCGGTATCTCTGATAATGGTTTTTTTGTGACTTAGAAAACAAAAATAAAACCTAATCACAGGATAATCAGAAGTGAAAATCTTGGCAGGTGTACATGTGGATTGACTGATTTGTTCAAGTCCAGGTTGTGGTATCAGGATACAGTTGTCTTTCAGAAGTCCTTGAAACTAAATAGCTTAAAGGAATGACTGTTGATACTTGTGCATTCAGTCTAAAAGTAGAAAAGACATTGTACATCCTTAGTTTAAACGCTAGAGAAGTGATCTTTTACAACTGTAAGGCCCTTATTTTTAATACGACTTAAGTCTTCTTCCAAATAATGTTTGGATCTAAACTAGTCGGTCTTCTGTATTATGTTTTCTGTACTATCTTGATTCCCCAAACACAAGTATTTTATATAGTGTAACTTTGTTTTCTCCCCTCTGATTAAGAATACTTCATACTTGTACAGGAAAAGCAAAAGTGGCTTAGTCCAAATTGACACAGTCATTTTTAAAGTTTTACTCTAGATTAAGATGGGATCAAGGAGCAACATTAGTAGAAAGGAGGAGGGGAAATGAGTGATCCATCTCTACAGGAAAATAAGATACTTCTTGAATCTAATCTTTACCACTCCAGTGAAACTGCTCGTTAAGCTCCGTGACTGCTGTGTTGTCATGTGCGTCGTTTTATGTTTGATTTCTCATCTAGACCAGTTGACACCATTTGATCATCCCCTTCTACATTCCACTTCCAGGATACTTTAGTTACTACTTACTCACTCACAGCTTTTTGTCTTCTCATCTTTAATGCTTGTAATTCCCAAGGGCTGGGTTAATCATTGAACCTCTTCATATTTATACTCCTTCATTCCCTTGGTCATCTCACCTAGTCTGATAGTGTTATAAGCCATCTATACACCAATTCCCCAAACTATCCACAATTCTGATCTCTTTTGGTGTTTAGACTTGGCATAATTTAACTGCTTGGTCTACCCTTGCATCTCTAATAGGTACCTCAGACTTAGGAAACTAGAGTTCTTAATTCCCAGCCCTTCACAGTAACAGTTCTCTGACAGCCTTCCCCATATCAGTTAATGGTAACTGCAATGGCAGTTTCATCCATCTAGTTGTTCATGTCATAAACCTTAGTCTTCCCTGACTCACATTGTGCTTGCCATCTGTTGGCAAATCTTTTTGCCTCTGCCATCGAAATGCGTCCAGAATTGGATCATTTCTTCTTCCATGGCTGTAAACCTGTATAAGCCACCCACCGTCTTGTGCTTGGATTATTGCCAGCCCCATAGTTGATTTCCTTCTTTTCTCTGCTGCTCTCTACCATCTCTTCCCAATACAGTAGTTAAAATATTTGAGACCCTGTTACCGTCAGGTCCCCTGTCACTGGTCTCATCTACTCCTTTCACCCTTGCTAACCATGCTCTAGTAACACTAGATTGCTTTAGTGTTATTAGGACATTCCAGGCTGTCCTATCAGAAGGCCTTTGCATTTGTCATTTCCACTGCTTAGGTGTTCTCTCTCCTTTAGAATTTTACTACAGTGTCATCTTGTCAGTGAGACATCTTGAGCAGTTCTATCTAAAATTGCAACAATTCTTTTCTGTCCTCCGGTATTCATTGCTGACTCTCCATTGCCTGGGACACCTGTTACACATTGGAGCTCAAATGGTTTGACTCAACACTGGCCATGTCAGCATAACTGATACTCAGCTATAACCAATATAGAGCGGAAGTAACTTGCGGCCTCTAATACTGGTACTTGCTAACTATTAAATAACTTTGGGCACCTCTTTTTTAAGTCATGTAGAAACTGAAGGACAGACCCGTTGGCATGAAAAATACTCTTATTTAGAATCTTTAATTTTTATTTGTTTTAAAGATTTTATTTATTTGCCAGAGAGAGCGAGCGAGCAAGCACACAGGGAGAGCGGTAGGCAGAGGGAGAAGCAGTCTCCCCTCTGAGCAAGGAGCCCGATGTGGTACTTGATCCCAGGACCCTGGGCTCATGACCTGAGCCAAAGGCAGACGCTTAACCGACTGAGCCACCCAGGCGTCCCTAAGTAACAGGGATTTTAATTTTAAGTTTTTTCTTTGGACTTAACCGATCACTTTGAGAATTTGGAAGTTAGTCTTTTTACTAGGACAACCTGTAGATTCAAAATTATAGATAATATGTATGTGATGAATAACGGGTATACTCTGAAATTGAGTCCCTCAGCCCACATTGTTGTTAACTTCCCTACAGAAAATATTGTTAACAATTTCTTATGTATCCTTCTGGAGATATTTTAAAATTTAAATACATAAGTGTAGGGGTGCCTGGGTGGCTCAGTCAGTTAAGCGTCTGCCTTCGGCTCAGGTCATGATCCCAGGGTCCTGGGATTGGGCCCCGCATTGGACTCCCTGCTCTGTGGGAAGTCTGCTTCTCCCTCTGCCTCTCCCCTTGCTTGTGTTCCTGCTCTTGCTATCTCTCTCTGTCAAATAAATAAAATCTTAAAAAAACAAAAACAAAAAACAACAAACAAAACCTTAATCCTGAAATCATACCCAGTATGTATGGAGCTGCCTGCCTTATTTTTGTCAGTGGCTGCATGATTTGTTGTGTGTGTGTATATATACATCTTTGGGCTTTGGATTTTAATAGATTGAGATTCTGTTACTTGAAATACTTTTTATTCTATTTTTCTAAATGCTGCCCATCTAAAGAGTTTGGTATAAAAAGTAAGGATAAGGGTCTGGCTTCAATTCCCTCCCCCCCACACACATGGCTTTCCAGTCATCTCAATCCCCCTTGTTATTAAGTTACTTTTCTTCCTCATTAAGGATTCTGTTTATGTAATATTCCTGTATTTGTCTACTCATACAATTTAATATAGTTTTGGGTGGTTTATGGACCTCTTGTTAGAAACTGCTTATTTTAAATGCTCATAAGAGAACTGTTTCAAGTAGAGGATTTTTCATGGTCTTTTAGACAACGTCTTACAAGGTACTTGAGATGTCTGGTTGGTGTAAATGTTATAATAGAATTAGGAAATAATGATAGCTCTTTTCTGGTTTTCTTAGATTTGGGAATGGATGATGAGGGAGATGATGACCCAGTTCCTCTCCCAAATGTTAACGCAGCAATATTAAAAAAGGTAAGGTAACAAACTATGTACCTGAATATGTACTTTTTTTTGTCATTTAACATCTTGGTGATCTTCCTATACTGCTACATAGGTAGCTTCCTTACCCAGACAGATTATGACTCTAGGTGTCTGTTGTATTTATTTAACCAGGCCCTGTGAATATTTGAGTTGTGTAGTCTTTTTTTTTTTTTTTTTTTTGGTAGGCTCCATGCCCAGTGCAGAGCGCAGCGTGGGGCTTGAACTCACCACCCTGACATCAAGACCTGAGCTGAGATCAAGAGTCGGACACTTAAGCCGACTGAGCCACCCAGTCACCCCAAGTTGTGTAGTCTTTTTGATAAAAACATTTAAATTACTGAAATATAACAGTATGTGCTTAGCAAAAAGGAAAAAATTTTTTGTTTGTCCACTGAATAGCTGTGCCTCAAAGGGAGCTTGAGAACAAATGTACCCCCACTGTTGATCACCTTACCTTGTGTTTAAGCATAAAAGGCTCTTGACATTGAATAGAATTTTAGTGTTTCAGGGCACATGGCTCCTTAACAGAGCCAGCTATTTACTTGCATGCTCATTTGGAGAAACAGCACCTAGTTTTTACAGGGCAGAGGAAATAAGCAAGGCTTAGAGATGGGAATGGTTGGTTCCATTTGGCCCCTTTCTCAGAGATTTTCAAAAGTCATTAGCCATATGCAATTTCATCTCCTGCTTTCTCTTGACCCTGGTGTAAGATGCAGCTGTGCTGCATATTTTTCCATGTCTTACCATAATTGGCTATTATCAGTTCTTTTAATTGCTCTAGACTGGGTAAAAAGTGATTCTCTAAGCCTGAACATTTTTTACATGTATTACTGGCCATTTATGTTTCCTGCTTTGTTTTCCTTTGCAGGTCTTTCTAATGGGCTTTTAAAAAAAATTGTTATAAATATACATAACATCAAAATTACCATTTTTAACTTTTTTATGTAGACAGTTCAGTGGCATTAAGTACATTTGCATGCTGTGCAGTCACCATGACTTACCATCTCCAGAAATTTTTCATCATTGCAAACTGAAACTCTGTACCCTTTAAACAATAACTCATCAATACTCCCTGCCTCCAGCCCCTTGTAACCACTATTCTACTTTCTGTCTCTATGAATTGGACTGTTGTGGGTATCCCCTGTAAGTGGGATTATACAATATTTGTCTTTTTGTTTCTGGCTTACTTCGCTTTGCATAATGTTTTCAAGGTTCATCCATCTAAAAGGACTTAGTTTGCACTCATTCAAATGCCAGGTATTTTTTAGGTGCTGGAGGTATAGCAGTGAACCAGAGAGGCTCTGCCCTTAGGGAATTAACATTCTAAAAGTGTGGGGGAAATGTATAATGTAAGAAATATTTCAGATGGGAAAGCTATGGAGTATAAGTGGGTTGATTGGTGGAGAGTTAGCTATTTTTAAAATAAAGGTGGTCAGGAAATGCCTTACTGAGAAGTTGATCTTTGAACAAAGACATGAATATGTGGGGGAAGAGAATTGTGGGCATTGGGATCAAGTGCAGTGACCCTAAGACAAGAGCATGCTCTACCTTTTGAGGAAAGGTGGAGAGGCAACTGTGGTGACTAGAGCATAGTGAACAAGCAAGGAGTTAGTACAGAAGGTCAGAGTTGATGGGCTGGGTGATACAGGGCCACTTCTGAGAGTAAGTTTTTTTTTTTTTTATTTGCATTATTAAGTCTTAGGCATATTTAAACTTACATGCTGAATAATTGCATGATCCAAAAACTGTAAAAGTACACAGTAAAATCTCCCATCCTTGTCTCAATCTGACCTGAAACTCCCTCAAGTAATAATAATCAACATTAATTTTTTTATTATTATTTTTTTAAAGATTTTATTTATTTATTTGACTGAGAGAGAGAAGACCGTGAGAAAGGGAACACAAGTAGGGGGAGAGGGAGAGGGAGAAGGAGGCTTCCCGCTGAGCAGGGAGCCCGATGCGGGGCTCGATCCCAGGACCCTGGGACGATGACCTGAGCAGAAGGCAGACACTTAACGAATGAGCCACCTAGGCGCCGCGCCCCTCAACGTTAATTTCTTACATGCTCTCTTTTTTTTTTTTTTTTTAAGATTTTATTTATTTATTTGACAGAGAGAGACACAGTGAGAGAGGAACACAAGCAGAGGGAGTGGAGGGGGGAGAGGCAGGCTTCCTGCCGAGCGGGGAGCCCGATGCGGGACTTGATCCCAGAACGCTGGGATCATGACCTGAGCCGAAGGCAGGCGCTTAACGACTGAGCCACCCAGGCGCCCCTCTTACATGCTCTCTTAAGAGTTTTTTTTTAATGCCTACATAAACAAATACTAATTGCTGTTTTTTTTTAAACAACTGGAATACTTCTTTTTTTTTTTTTTAAGATTTTTATTTATTTATTTGAGAGAGAGAGAATGAGAGACAGAGAGCATGAGAGGGAGGAGGATTAGAGGGAGAAGCAGACTCCCCGCCGAGCAGGGAGCCCGATGCGGGACTCGATCCCGGGACTCCAGGATCATGACCTGAGCCGAAGGCAGTCGCTTAACCAACTGAGCCACCCAGGCGCCCACAACTGGAATACTTCTTAAAAAGATAATATTTCATGAAAACTCCTAGCTTGGCTTTTCCTTCTAGAATAGATCTTTCCTTTTTTACCTCTGACAGTATAATTTCTTAGCTCTGCCTTTTTTTTTTTTTCAGCATTTTTTATTTCTCCAGCATTATATACTATGAACAAAATTTGATCATACAGAAAAGTGATATTACACAGCAAAACCCCCTTTACCTGCCACCTAGATTCTACAACTTGTAACACTTTCAGTGTTGATTTAGGCCTTTATGATAGTACATGTGGCCTAACCTGCTTCCTGAAACTTGATATATGTTTATTCCCCTATGAAGGGGACATTTCTGCTTTTCTTACTTTGTTCTTACACTCCGTAGTCTCGTGGTATTTAGAATTGCTTGGTGATAATGTATGCATATCCTCATCTTCACTAGGTATAGGTAGTTGCTAGATTACTTTTCAAAGGGATTATACCAATTTACACTCTCCATTATAAGAGTTCATGTTATCCTCACAATGTTGCCAGTGATGAGCATCAAAATCTTTTTTTTTTTTTTTGGTCATTCTAGAGTAGGACCTGACTGGAGTATTGATTTTTGTATCTAATGAAACTGCGCATTTTCTCCTGTTTGAGTATTCAGATTTCCTTTGTGAATAGCCTGTTCATATCTATAGCCCGTTTCTTTGTAGTGATTTTTTTTCTTTTTAAAGTAAGCTCTATGCCCAATGTGGGGTTCAAACTCACAATCCTGAGATTGAATCACATGTTCTACTGCCTGAGTCAGCCGGGTGCCCCACTTTGTAGTGATTTTCAAAATTTATATTCTAGAGGGTAATCAATTACTTGTTCATGTTGCACATATTTTCCACTCATTATCCTGTCTGACGTTGTGTATTTTTTTTGCGAGGAGCTTTTTAATGCGGTCAAAATAGCAATCTATCTGCAAGGTTTGCTCTTCTCTAAGATCTTCCAGCCTCTAGGGTTGTGAAGATTCCTCAAGCTTCAGTTTTGCTTTTCAAGCTCGGCCAGTAATTTGCTTACTCAAGTCAGCTTCTAGCTAGTTCTTAGCCCATTGTTAGGAATAACCTTGCCCCAGTAGTGGCATGAGTACCTTGTGACATAATGCCACAAAGGAATGAACTTTCTTTGTTACAGGTCATTCAGTGGTGCACCCACCACAAGGATGACCCCCCTCCTCCCGAGGATGATGAGAACAAAGAAAAGCGGACAGATGATATCCCTGTTTGGGACCAAGAATTCCTGAAAGTTGACCAAGGAACACTTTTTGAACTTATTCTGGTATGTTTCTTTTTTTCTTTTTTTTTTTTTAAAGATTTTATTTATTTATTTGAGACAGAGAGAATGAGAGACAGAGAGCATGAGAGGGAGGGGGGTCAGAGGGAGAAGCAGACTCCCTGCCGAGCTGGGAGCCCGATGCGGGACTCGATCCAGGGACTTCAGGATCATGACCTGAGCCGAAGGCAGTCGCTTAACCAACTGAGCCACCCAGGCGCTCTCTGGTATGTTTCTTAATGCATTCTTTAAGATATCTCTAGTTCAGAGCCTTTAGCACTTGTAAGAGAGTTTGTTAAATTCACTGTTACTGAATTTTAATTCTCTCTCAACTCAAGTATGGTGGTATATTTAAATTCACATATTAACAATCACGTTAAATGCAAATGGTCTAAACAAAACAATTAAAGGGTACAGGTTGTCACATCGGATTAAGAAAAAAAGGTTCAGCTATGGTGTCTCCAAAACACCCACTTTAAAGACACACTTGATTAAATTATGATTAAAGATTAAATTGTGCTAACAGTAATCAAAAGAAAACTACAGTGACTATTTTAAAGTAGATTTCAGAGCAAAGAATATCAGCAGGATTGAAGAGGGTCATTGCATAATGGTAAAGGAATCAGTCCAATATTAAGAGGACATGACAGTTCTACATGTTTATCTATCTAAAAGATTTCCAAAAAGTGAAACAAAAACCAATAGAACTCAAAGGATAAATAGACAAATCCACTGTCTGCTGTCTCCCCTTAATTGATAAAACAAGTAGAACGAGTAAGGTTGTAGAAGATTCAAATAACACTATTGACAGACTTGTTCTGATAGACATTTATAGACCATTAAATCTCATGACATGCAATGAATGCATTTTCAAGTGTGTACTATTAAGATCGACATGTTCAAGGTAAAACACAAGTCTCAAATTTGAAAGGATTCAAGGCACACTGTTTTCTGATCACAGTGAAATTAAATTAGAAGTCAATGAGTGAAAGCTATCTGGAAAAACTTAAGTAACTTCTCAGTAACCCATGAGTCAAAGAAGAAATCAAAAGAAAAATTGGAAAAGAGAATTAGAAATTTTATGCCAGAAAGTATTTTGATCTGAATGGACATAAGAGCCAACGTACGAGAATGTATGAGTTGTAGCTGAAGTAGTATTCAGAGGGAAGTTGGTAGCACTAAAGCACCTGTACTGGAAAAGAAAAAAGTCTCAAATCAGTGATCTAAGCTTTTACCTTAAACTAGTCAAAGATGAAATTAAACCCAAAGAAAGGAAATGTTAAAGGTAGGAGCATAAATTTATGTAACAGAAAACAGGAGAGAAAACCAAAGAATCTAAAAGCTTACTTTTTGAGAAGATCAGTAAAATGCAGCGCTGTTATTGCTTCTGCCTCTGTAAATACTTCTGTCAAGATTTGCCATGTGGTGCGTATGTGCCTGTGAGCACACACCCACACCCACAAGTAGTGACCATTCTTTAGCATTTGAGGTGGTGTGGTTTGCTATTACAGAAGGTGTAACGAAGGGGATGTATGAAAATATTTCACCAAAGAATCTGATTTTCCCTTTAATTTCATGAAATTAGCATTTTAAGCTTAATTAGTATGGATTTACAGTCACTAACTTTGGATTTAGTTTAAAACATCACATATACTTAAATGAAAACAACACTTTCCAGGCTGCGAACTACTTAGATATCAAAGGTTTGCTTGATGTTACATGCAAGACTGTTGCCAATATGATCAAGGGGAAAACTCCTGAGGAGATCCGCAAGACCTTCAATATCAAAAATGACTTTACTGAAGAAGAGGAAGCCCAGGTAAGTTGCTCACAGCTTGTTCCTGATCACATGCTTTTTTAAAAAAAAAGTAAAACTCAAAACATGCCTGGAGATGGGTCTCTGTCAAGGAGACTTGACTTTCTGAAAGATGATAATAGGTACTTTCTGTGTCATAAAAAATACTCTTGTCGAGAGATTGGTCTGTGAGTCTAAACATTTACATGCTACCGCTCTTGTATAAGCATAAGAACAATTAGTTTTCAACGAAAGGTGCTCTTTGATATTTCCTCCTTCACAGTTACTGGTTTGGGCACCTGGGACCTTAAATGTAAGCCATAACTATTTGACTTCAGAACAGCAACCCCTGTGGGTGTTCTGCCAGGATACTTGAAAGCAACTTAGTGAATGGGGGAAGAAATGAATGAATAGATCAGTGCTGACACAGCTACAGACTAAAATAATGTGAATGAAGTATTTGAATTTGCTGTCAGTTCTGGTGACTGAAGCTTTAATTGCCCCATTGCTTTTGCTTTTTTGATCATTTCAGCAGGGCAGAATAAAAACCTGGGGAGGCGAGGAAGGGTAAGGAAGTGTACTCATAACTGGGTATTTTTCTAGTTTTCCGTCTGTCCCTTTGTGACCCTCCTCACAGGCTGTTAATGAATCATTAGGTGGTAGTCTTAAGAAAGACTACTTAAGGTACTTCCTTCTATCTGTCTCTTCTAGGTACGCAAAGAGAACCAGTGGTGTGAAGAGAAGTGAAATGTTATGCCTGACACTGTAACACTGTAAGGATTGTTCCAAATACTAGTTGCACTGCTCTGTTTATAATTGTTAATATTAGACAAACAGTAGACAAATGGCAGCAGCAAATCAGTTGTTTAAGCAGAATATTGTCCTCCTTGCATGTGTAGTTTGAGTACAGATTCCAAACTTATGGCTGAGTTTCTTCTAGTATGGATCAAAAGTTTCTTTTTTCTTTGCTCTAAATAAACCTGAACTGTGGGTTCTCTGTAGAAGGTGGCATCTTGGGCTTTCCGAAACTCTCTTTGTAAAGCGATTTCTGCCTAGTTTATTGTCTAGTTAACTTTAGTTTAATGACCTTTTAAAAGTTGGCATTGTAAATAAAACAAGTTGAAAAAAGTTTTCTGAAATAGAATTAACAACATATTCTTTTTATTCATGAGTTGGAAACTGGAAAAAGGCTACCTGAGGTAAATGTTTTGAGTGGGGTTATTAGGATGTCTTCCAGCTTCCTGGAGTCAAGGAGTACCCCTGGTATTGATTAGCCTGTATGTAGCAGGGCTCCCTTAATTGGATCTAAGGACTTGTTTTTGCATTTTTAATCCTCAGCTTTGAATATGTTGGCTAGAGACTCAGTTACTACTCAGTTTGTGGTTTTGGGGGGAATATAGCCAGTCTGTTAGCTTTTCGATTAAAAAAGACAACCCACCCATATGGTTATGTCATCTTCTTATAATCATTGATCCCATGTGGGGGAAACTTCACACTACTTGCATGTAAAAAATAATTTAACCTTTAACGTTAAAATGTCTGGCAAACCTAGAAAGCATCCATGAATGCAAGATACTTTCAATAAAAAATAAGTTACGTAGTAGGTGGTAAATGGTTTGCTTTTGTGTACTTAACTGTGTCTCTTCACTTACTATTAAATGAGTTAAGTATATGTATGGTTCTGTAGCTGGAGACTGCTTGCAGGAAGTTGATGTCCTAGCTCGCTGGAGGCTGCTGACCTAACCATTGGGTTCTGATAGACTTGTGTCTCTTCTGATTGTCATGATCTGGTTCCCTGGAGCCAGTGCTTCAGTTCTTACTGGTGCACGTGGCTGCACAGGACTGCACTCACTGTTCCTAGCTTCTGCCCTACAGTAGAATGAAGTTTTCTTGGTGCTTGAGATGGCTCACAAATTGTTATCTTTTTCTTTCCTCCTTGTGCTCCCTTTTCTCTTGCTTTCCCATTTAGCATCATCTCTATTCACATGTAGTCCTACTGCATTCTCTCCATGTTTACTGTGAGCTGTTTTGGCTCAGATTATTCGCTGATAGTAGTTTGCCTTTATACTTCACTTCTCATTTGCCCTGAATCTGTATCTTGTTTAATAAAGTCCCATATACTATCTCACATGAATTCCTATTTGTCGTCTGTACCAGAGATTGCAAACTACAGCCCGTGTGTGGGTGAAATCCAGCCCACAGCCTATTTTTGCAGTCTTTGAGTTAACAATGGTTTTATGTCTTTAAAGGATTATTAAAAAATCAATACAGGAGACTGTATTTGACTTGAAAAGCCTAAAATGTTTATTCTCTGGCCCTTGAGAGAAAAAGTTTGCGACCCTTATGACTGCTTCTGGATCCCTGATTCCCTTTATTCTCAGGAATTAGCTTGTTTTCCATCTGTCCTGGGTTCACTTGGGAAGGTAGCAGAAATCAGTCCTAGCTGGAGTGTCTCACCTTTAATTCCCACCATAACAGTTCTTGCGAAAAGTTTAACCACCCCCAGCAAGATCTCTAGCATGATTGTGAAAAATAGAACTCTTGGACACCTGGATGGCTCAGTCGTTGGGTGTTTGCCTTCGGCTCAGGTCATGATCCCAGGGTCCTGGGATCGAGCCCCGCATTGGGCTCCCTGCTCCGTGGAAAGCCTGCTTCTCCTTCTTCCACTCCCCCTGCTTGTGTTCCCTCTCTCGCTGTCAAATAAATAAAATCTTAAAAAAAAAAAAAAAAAAAATAGAACTCTTAAATGAAAGTTCAGGATTGTTAGCACATGCCTTGTGTAGTTTGGAAAGGAAATAACGGCTTCCAGGAGACAAAACCTATTACTTTTCTCTGTTAGTTCTGAATCTCTATAACCCCCAAGGATTGTTGGGATAACAGGTCTAAATAATGGCACTACCCATATTTAAAGGACACTGGGATCTTTTTGAATAGGTGAGACTGAGTGGACAGACAATATAGTAGTTAAGATTTTTGTTCTCTTCCTGATTTTCTGTAGACTGTGGCCCTAGGCTTTAAATAAAACGTCCTGATAATCTTAAACTCTCAGGTTTCATAAAGATCTGACAGCTCCTATAAGAGAAAATAGGCCATTTTTAGACATTGTGTGCCCACATCAGTCACGGGTAGGGTGCTCAGAGGCACTGCAGACTGGCTGCTGCGTGCTGCCTGCCCTATTCGCTCTTGCCTGCTAGTGGCTATTTCTTTAATAAGTCTTCCAAGAGTTTTCTGGGCCCTCACCTTACCCAGGGAAAGTGAGTGGCTCTTTCCCATTATCCATAGTAGCCAAATCTGTCTCCAGAGATACACTCTCTCCTACCCTCTCACTTCCCAGCTGTTCTAAACTAATACTGTGGCACCAAGTCATACTGTGAGGCTGGATTCCTGTTTCTGCCTCTTGGTGCCTACCTGGCCTCGGGTAAGTTGGAAATGGTAGCTATGTGCAGAGTGGTGCTGTTGGTGATGAAGACCCCCGTGTGATAGTTCTTTGGCTTCTCAGCTTTTCATTGACTGTGCCACTTATGAATGAGAGTAAACCATATTCCTTCTCAATATTAGCTCATTCCTTTTTCTCTGACATTGTCATGGATTAAGGATGTGCCCCCCCTCAAACAGATTCTGGTAATTCTTACATTGTAGAAGCAAGTTATGTCATTTGAAGTGCTATTATATTTTGTATTTTATTAGCTTGCCTTCATAAATCTACCTTTAATACACAAGGTACGTATTGCTTTGCAATTTTTATATTTTTCCAAAGATCCACAAACATCCCAGTAAGGTAAAAATTCCTGAGCAGCATTGCAGCTGTGATCTGTTGATTCTGCACCTGTTGGAACATATCAGCTGCTAGAATTAAACAAGATCTTTACCATAATTTGGTGGACTATTAGGACTGTGCCCCAGTAACATGAATTAACGGTAATGAGGAGCTTAGACTGGAACTAGCTGGAGAAGAAGGAGAGTAAGTCACTATGAGCATGTGAATCAGGGCAGGCAGATATTCCAAACCACATGATCTCTTAGTTTACTTTTGTTGTTGTTGTGTGTGTGTGTGTGTTTTTAAGATCTTACCCATTTATTTGAGGGAGAGAGAGAGCATGAGAACAGGGTGAGGGGCAGAGGGAGAAGCAGCAGACTCCCTGCCAAGTAGGGAGCCCAACATGGGGCTTGATCCCAGGGCTCTGAGCCGAAGGCAGACACTTAACTGACTGAGCCACCCAGGCACCCCAATCTCTTAGTTTATTTAAAAATTGGCCAATTCTATAGTTTGTTTGCCGATCCAAGGGAAATTAAGAAATTAGATAGGTCGCCTAGACTCTTATAGGGCGATTTATACATGCATAGGAAGTACTTCCACAAGTTAAGAACTGAGAGAGCAGCAGACCTCTTGATCTGAGCATTGTTCACTCTATCCATGGCCAAAGACGCTTTTATCTTTTGAAGCTTAACTTCTGCCACCCCTTCCCATTTGAAGATGTTTCAGAGCTTTCTTCTTTCTAAAGCTCCCTATATATTTAAATGGGAAAGAATCAAATGTTCTTCCTGTGAAGTTGCTTGAGCTTTAAAAAGATGATAATCTTCAGTTATTTAGTTTGTATGAAAACTGATTTCTGGCTAGTACAGAAGAGAATTAGGGGAAAGATTGCTAGTAAAGGGAAAGCCTGTGAAATGGCTGAATCTCTAAAGTAGCTCCTAGCTTCTCCTTTGTGGGAAGTGTAAGCCATGGTTTCTCTCTTGGGAGCTTTTGGTGTAGCTAATGAGGCAAAGCATAAATACTGCCAGGAGGGGATGAGGAACCGTAATAAAAATGTTCCTGGACAAAACAAGATTAATGAGTAAATGGGGGTTCTAGGGCTGGAAGGGCCTAAGAAAGTTTCTGTGAGAAGAAACGAATTGGTGGTTTTGGTTGGGGATGGAGGGATGCCATGGTGAGGGGGGAAGCAGTGCTCAGTCTGGAACTACCAGCAGAGGGTTGGGTGTCAGGTCTGCTGGAGAGTATAGGCTGGAAAGACACATTGTGCTGGATTAGTGATAGAATTTTGGTGACCAGGAGAGTGTTGATCAGACCCATGTCAGGCAGTGCAGTTCTTGGGTGGTTGAACTAAAACTTTCTTTTAGTATTGTACTAAAGGATGTGATGGGGGATTTTGCATTTGGAGTCCTAATTGATGCCTTTGTTTACTGTTAAAAACCTCTCTCTAAAAGGCAGAATGAGTAAGGGAACTGGATGTGCATACCAAGACGAATGATGTGAGAAGTTGAGAATATATCCCGTGGCCCAACATTGAGCCTTTTGGACACCTTAGCAGGATAGACTGAGTGCTGTCCTTACTGTTGAGTGGTCAGTGGATATGAACCTTATTGGTGGCTTAAAGATGTTGGTCAGGGAGCTCTCGTTTGATGGATTTCCAGTGTGGGACTTGAGTGATAGTTTAACTCACAGATGATATACTTGCTGCCTTGTGGCATCTTCACACTGTTGGCTACATCTGGTGTGTGTGCCAATACCGAGAGGCATTTTGTGGGAGGAATATAGAATAGAGTTGCTTACAGTATCTGTTCTCATGACCTTCTGACAGTGCTTAACTTGAAACCTGATCTGTATGCCAGCCTGCCTCTTCTTTCAGTCTGAGAATCCACCTAGTCCATCAAAGTGCTCTCAGTTTCAATACTTCGCTCCTGTATTGTGCAAATGCATATTTGTCCTTGCTGTGCTGAGTGTGCTCTTTTACAGCTTCTCTTACCTGCTTCAAATGCTCTGCAGAGACTGGAGGCTTATAGGATGGGTGGGAGTAGAGAGAGCTACACTGTCAGAAAACTACATTCAAGAGGAGTTTCCAGAGTGGCCTGTTTGCTGGCTTGGTTTCCTTTGTTCCTTCGACCTAATTCCTCCATATTTCTCCCCTTCCCCTACCCATTCCTCCTCCCCTCCCCTGCCCCAAAATTGACTGCACATGCTTAAAAGAATAAGCTTTCAGATAAAGGAGAGAATACCTGAATGGAAAAGGAGGATCTGGTCCAAAGCCCCAGGTGAACTTGAAAAGAAGTACCAGCTTTGAACTACTGTTTTCTATATAATTTATAGCTGATGAAATACTCCTTACTCTGCGTGACTGAACTCCTGAGAAATGCTAAGAGCTAGCACAGTTCCTACCCCTAGGACAGAATTTGCTTTTTCCGGTTAAACTTCTCTGCCTAATCCCATATTATTATTATTATTATTTCGAAAAAATCTCTCCTGACCTGAGCTGGCTTTTATTCTAGCCAACCGACTATAGGAATATCCTCACCTATGTCTTCTGCTGTTTAAGTAGTAAAGTTAGGGCTCTTCTCAGACCCCTTTGGCCCATTGTGGACAAATAGACCAACAAAGGTCCATTAGTTGCTCCAGGCCAGTAGAAAGCCCAGGAGCCTGAATTAGAGTTCTGGGACAGAGGTGATTAGAATAGTCGGCATTGATGGAGCCTAGGAACCAGGGTCTGTTTGGGTGGTCAATTCTCTTTCAGGGACCCTTGGTGAACTCTTAAAGCTCTGGGTAGACCTGAGAAAGTCATTATAAAGCAGCCTTTCTAACTTCAAAGAAAAGCCAATCAGCTTTTTTGTATAAGGAATTGTTCTTGGTCTCAAATCTTCTACTTTGATATATAGGCCTGACAAGTCTTTGTTACCCTTGCCCTTTCTAGGCTGTTTTTCTAGAAATGCATGCAGGAACCTATTTCATTTCTTCTTTGGAACAATGTAAAGAATCAGTCTGTTTCCCGGCACTTGTGGCCTTTCTAGCCAGACTTACTGTACACTCAGTAGAGTGGGCAGCAGTGCTTTAGGGACGTTCAAAAGATAGTGGGGCGCCTGGGTGGCTCAGTCGTTGAGCGTCTGCCTTCGGCTCAGGTCATGATCCCAGGGTCCTGGGATCGAGCCCTGCATCGGGCTCTCCGCTCAGCAGGAAGCCTGCTTCTCCCTCTCCCACCCCTGCTTGTGTTCTCTCTCTCGCTGTCTCTCTGTCAAATAAAATCTTAAAAAAACAAAAAAGATACAGCTAGAAGAGTGGCCACAGGGCTTCCTATATATAAAAAAAAGGGCGGGGGGGATGTGTTCAAATTGAGAGACTTGGGCAGGCCGTGCAGCTTGCTGAGCTGGGCCTTCCCCGTGAGTGCAAGAGAACTCACTGCAGCACAGATGCCAAGCCGGTTTGCCTGTTCTCTTCTGGGAATGTGTAAGGGAGGTTGGGGCATCTTGTCTTGTGAGGTCTTAGAAACAGGGCTAGTTCTTGGCTTGCAGGGAGGTGGGACTGGTGTACTATTTGAAATTGTATTTAGGACCTCACTCTCAAGTCACCTGTGGCCTCAGGAATGTGCTGGTGTGATCTAGGAGGATTTGAGTTTCCTCTTTGAAGTCACTTTTTTTTGAGGCTGGTTTGATTTTAACAAAGTTGCCAGAGCTCCCCTCTGTACCCTCCCATACACAAAGGGTGCATTGTTCCTGTACCCAATGTGCTCTAAATAAGACACCAAATCAGATGCAGCAATCCAGTCTTGCATAAGCCTTAAAATGTAGTTTTTGAAACAACTAGGCCAGAGTGGAATTCTTTAAATGGGACAGATGTCGAGAGAATGGTCTCCTCTCGTACCCTTCCGGAAAAAAAGCAAATCTGGGATTACAGCTTCCAGTGGCCTACTTTAGATAGACACTACTCTGGAAGATGACTTTATTTATAAATATTTTTAAACATAAAATCCCCAAAATAGAACTCTGTGAAAATTACAATGCGTGGTGACTTGGGATCTTCTTGCCCAGCATTTTTATTTGCTTGACCTACTGAAGTGGTTTTGCACCTTCTACATTCATGAGGAGTTTGAGGAGTTAATGGTATTCTTAAACATGATGGAAACTGCTATTAAAAGGGAGGCTGTAGATTTATCAAACTGGAGAGGTTTTGTGTAAAAATAGGAAGATACTTTAAGCACCCAATTAGCTTTTGGGAGGAAAGGGTGCTATTAAAATGCTCTTTCAAGTTTTCTGATACCAGCTTATGAGAGACTCCGGTTTGCTTCAAAATAGGATGTGTGCTTGTGGAGTATTGGGTCTTTTCTCTCTGCGGGAGGAAGATGGAGCCTAGTGGTTATGTGGGTCTGTGGTGGCAGTTTACGGCCCATTCCCATATGCAGGCTGGCCTGTCCCTGCATCACTTGTGAGGTCCGAGGATTGGGGAGTTTACACTTAGAGGGAGATTAGCTCTTGTGGTTGGAAGGCCGGGCAGGGCCTAAGCCCCAATAGGGAAGGTGAGGAAAGTAATCTTTGGCTTCTGTTGATTGAAAGTCTTGAGAACATGTGTCCCATGACAGAATAAACCCCAAGTTTTATGGCTGTGGGTAAGAAAAGGAGAGTGTCAAGCTCTATTACTGAAACAGCTTATTCCTTAGGGTCAAGCTTTGAAAAAGTATCTTTATTCTCACGTTAAAAAAGTTTTTGTTTGATGATGCATTAACAATACAAAAATATTTTGAACACTACAATAGTCCTTTTCTTTCAAGACTTCTTGCAACACTACACTAGAATATATGTTCTTTGGATTCTGAGAAGCCAGTGGCTAAAGTCGGAACTAAAGGCTTTTGTTGAGGGATGTACGGGTATAGGAACAGCCCTTTTTCTTTGGATTCAGGCTATGTACAGTGAGGAAGAGGGCAAAAAAAAAAATTAAATTAAAAGTTTTTTTTTTTTTAAGGCTCAGGGTTGAAGCTTGGCTCAGAAATGGGTTAAAGTAGGCTGTGGTGAAAACCCACTGACTACCACTAGAGGTTCTCTGGGCTCCTTGCTTTGATGGTGATGGTCCTTCCTGCAGCCCCATCGGGAAACTGAAGCTGGCCTGTTTCGTGCTGAAAGGTAGGCACTGGCTGTCATGAGGTTTGCCCTCAACTGCTCACGAGCCGCCTAGACTGACCCGGGTAAGCAGAAAATGGAGCTGTGACAGAGGCTCTTGGGGTAGGGAGGGATGCACACCGGGTTTGGGGCCATTTCTTTTGGCTGTCGAGTTCAGCCATTAGAGACAGGCTTGGGACCTTGGTCATCAGAGCTTCTGGGGAGGTTGAGTTTCTCTTGGAAACATTTCCAAGTAATTGAACCAGAGCCAGGTACGTCTCACTGCCCATACTTGCCTGATAAGATAGTGTCTGGTCATTCCTGTTGCCTAGGATGATAGGCCTAGATTTAACCCGTTATCCCCTCCTTGTCTTGCAAGCTCTTGAGAACATGGCAAGAGGCTTCCTTCTGGTCCAGCTTATGAATAATTACTCCTTTTCTGTCAACAGGGCTTCTCCGGGCCTTTCTGAGAGAAGCATTGTCCTCTTGAGCATGTGGTTGTGACCATGCTGAGGTGTTGTTTCATAAACCAGCTCATTCTTGGTCCATGAAGTGTCTGGTATGGGGAGGGTGTGGCAGTGGTGGGACTGGGGAGGTGTAGGGTTCGGAAAGTAGCTGGGCTCAATCCCGCCCATCTGTGACCTATAGCAGAAAAGCAAAGGAGGAGGCAGGGGGCATCTGGCCAGCAAGACAGGTGGTAAAAAGAATAGATGCAGGCTGCTGTAGGCACAAGGGATGCCCTTAATCAGACGACACACCACCAATCGGATTCCCACCACTTGGAGCAGTTGGAATTGATGGCCCCAGGTTCAGGCAGAAGTTGTGCAGCCTCGGAAGTCTCCTGGGCCTGGTCCCTGAGAGGGAGGTAACAGGGCCCCTGGCCAGGTTCCATGTGATTTGGGGCTCTGTCGCTTCCTCTCAGAGGATGGGTCCCTGGAGGCGGCCAGGTGTCCTGTGCATGCTAGGCTGCCTGTCTCTGAGATTCCTGTCGTTGCACCTGTGTACTCTGCAGGGCGCCGGGGGGGGCCTGGGGGGGTCCAGGGGGCTGGGAGGCTGAGAGCGGCTGAGAGCCCTGGTGATGTAGGCGCCGGCTCCGCAGGACTAGCAAGCAGTTCTGTGGGGAGGTGGGGCAACAGGAGGTATGAGGGCGAGTCCTGGGGGGCTGGGGACCCGGGGCAGCCTAGAGCACTGTCATCGGAAGGAACGGGGCTGGGGCAGCGGCCTTCTCCGGGTAAGTACCGAATGCATTTCTTTTTCCTCCTAGGAATAGTGAAGAGAGTTATCTGTAAACAGAGGGTGAATTCACAGTCATACACCACAACCAGAAAATGCTGTCCTTGCACAGGCCTGCTGACCTCTTGTCCCCTGTCCCCAGGACTTGGGTGATGTGCCTGTGCCTTCAAACCTAGCACTGCACTTCTGCTGGGCCTGGCCCAGACCTGGAGCAGGTGTAGTTCCCAGCACAGCCACAGGGTGGCACAGGAACCTCTTGCAGGCTAGCCGTGGGGGCTGCCTCCTGTTTTCCAGGGGAGCCATCTCCCAGTTTGGGCCATGGAGCCTCTGCTTCACGTGTTTGTGGGGCTCAGATCTGCAGTAAGGCAAAGGGCTGCACTGCTTGTGGATTCCTGGGGGGTGCTCGGGCAGAATAATACAAATGCGCCCAACGTGTATATATACACACACTTATGTACTGCCCAAGTTCCTCTTTGCCCTTGGAGAGGGAGCATGGTGGACACTCTGAGGGACTGGACGGTATTCCTTAGAGTCTGTGAACTCACTGCCTGAGGTGGACTCAGCCTTACCAGACCTAGCCTCAACCTCAACCAGGCAAACTTTAGCCACCTGGTAGGTATATCTTCTTTTCACATACACACTTCTCTGTTGTATGGGGAAACACATGGGTTTAGTGCCACAGAGCCCAAGTACGGCCCTTTTGCTAGGATGGCCCAGGGATACCCCCCCTTCCTCTCTCCCTACCTCTGCAGTCCCTGGTCTCAGGTAGAAGATGAGGTACGTGACCACTTGGCATCCAGGCGGTCCTCTACTACAGTCACTTTGGGTTTTTAAGCGTTCAGGATAACACAGGCAGGGATCCTAACTTGAAGTGAGGGAATTGGTGGACCATGGTGAGTTCTAGGCCTGGTAGCCAGGGGCTCAGGCCACTGAATGGGGTACATGAGATTGGCCTGCTGAGGATCTGCTAACCTTAGTCAGCATCAGGTCCTCATTAACAGAGGACCCTAGGCACCAGGGGCCAGAACTACCTTCTTGAGTCTGCCTTTCTTTTCTAGAACATTGCTATGGGACTGGGGGACCAAAGGAGGGCTACAGGCCCAGCAGAACGTGTGCAGAGTCAGGGAAGCAGCTTGAAGCAAAGGGAGGATGGTGGTGGGGACAAACCCACCTGCACGGACCACACCAATCCGTCTGCTGGTTGAGGCCAAAGCGAGCACGGCATTTCTTAGGCGAGCCAGGGTCTGCTCACAGCCATGCCAGAGGGGCAGAGCAGGGCAGAGGGCGAGCAGGCAGGCAGCAGGGCAGAGCAGGGCCCAGAAAGAAGAGGTAACATCAGTGTCAGCCAGTCACAGATACCCCATAGGCCCCATAGGCAGCGGGCCTCTCCATGGCACAGCCAGCCCCAGTGGGAGCCCCAGGACCCAGAGCCAAGTTATCAGGAAAGGTGGGCACCTAGCTAGGCAGGAGACGCAGTGGGAAGAATGGTGGAGGGAGGGAGGGGATCCTGGCAGGTTAGCTCCTCTCTCTGGCTGCAGCATGGGAGCTGCGGGAGAGGAGCCCAGGGGAGACTCACAGGGATCCAGCCTCTACTGCCTCAGGGCTGCCCACCCCCCACATCTCCCTGCCCACGTCATCCAGTTTTTCTTCCTTTTTGCCAATGCTCATTCTACCTAACCCATAACCCCCTCTTGCTGTAGCTTAAACCAGATGCACAGCAAAGCCCACACTTCAGCTTCAGAAAAGGGTGAGGATTCTACCCCGCCTCAGTCCTAGCCTCGAGCTCCCCTGTGTGGGGGCAGCAGAGTTGAGCTAGTCATGGATGTGGAGTCTGAATTATCAGACTTGGGGCAAGAATTCACCCACAGGAGGGAGACTTGAAGCAGAGTATGGCTTCCTTGGGTCCTCCTTTGCACTGCCTAAATAAACAGGGATGGGGCGGGGGGGGTGACCGAGAAATGGCCGGGCACCAACCAGCCGGCTGTGTGACTTCAGGGCCTAGGCACAGCTGCACCTCCGTCCCCACAGCCCGCATGCCCATCTCAGCAGAACCACAGACTCGGTTTCTCTGGCAGAGGCTAGCTGGGAGCAGGGCTGGCAGAGGTGGGAGGGTGCAGTGGGTCAACACACCAGTGTTACACTGTTAAAGGGACTTCGTGTAGTTGTTCCTCACATGGGGATTTGACTTGTGAAAGTGGGCCTTGTTTTCAGAGTGCTGAGAATTCTGCCTCTCCCTCTGGGCCAGAGCAGGGTGCTCATGAAATGCAGGCTTGGAGAGCAGTCTCCGCTGCTGAGAGGAGGCCTCACCTGTGTTGGATTCCTGGTGCTTTTCCCGTGACCGCCTTTTCTTCTTCCCCTGTAGGGAACAGAGGGAGGGATTCTGCTCAGATCTGAGAAGTGGTCCCTTGATCATTCCAGTGAGTGTGTGGTTGGGAGACCTGCAGCCTAGTCTGGCTGTTGCTGAGATTCTGGGTACACAGTTCCCTCCTCCCCAGGAGGCCTGGCGTTTCTTAATGGCAGTTTTTGCCAGGATACCATGGGGCAGTTAGAGGCGGCTCCTCCCTTTCCCATGCGGGTCTCCCTTCTGAATGGAGGCGATGACTTACAAGGCCCCTTACTCCCCTTCTGCCTATATGGCCAAATACCAGGCAACAGCCCTGTCAGGGGAGTGCATCCCAGGTGGAAAAGAGGACATGGGCCTGCCTTCAAGGGGCAGCTTCCCTTGCTTAGCTCTCGTCAGACTAGCCATGTGAGGCCTTGGGCCCTTGCACTCCACCACCTGCCCTCCTTGTCTCTGCCTTCAGGACAGTGGTCTGGCTTTCCCTGTGGCGACTGTGGCCTGGGGCATGGCATCTTGAAGGTTCCCCTCCCCGTCCCTACTGTGTGTCACTGGCCACTCACATAATTGTCCCGCGCTGACCAGCCTGGATAGAGCTGCATGTGCAGCTGCCTCTCCTTTCGGGCCAGCTCATAATATTTGGCTTGCTCTTCCCGAGACAGCGCGTGCCACTGCAGTGGGGAAGAAGGGGTAGGTGGGGTGCACTACGGAATCAACAAGGCAGCACCAGGGTGAAGGTGGTCAGGGCCCACTCCCGCCAGCCCCCCTGCCCGTGGCCTCACCCTTCGGCCTAGGATCTGGTTGATGGCAGCGCTCTCCTTGAGTGTGCACTCTGCGATGACCTTGGCTCTCATCTCCTTCATGTATAGCATGAAGGCGTTGAGGGGCTTCTTGATGGTTGGCTTCTTGGCCTCCTTCTCCACCTTGGATTCTACCTGCGTCTTCCTGAGGGGTATATGTCCAGATCACTCAGGAGCCCCCCAGTGTCCACCTAACGCGACTGCCTTTTTCTCGTGTGTGTCCAGTGTGTGTGTAAATGCATGGAAACAAAGGTTTTGTAAATGGTATCTTTCCCAGCTCCTCCAAAATGGATGATCAGAGCTACGTACTCTTCCTTGCAGGAATACTGCAGCTAAGAGAAACATGTTTAAGGACTTCTCAGCCCCTCCCCTGTTGGCTCAAACCAAATCTCTGTTCCCCACCCCATCCGTCCCCTCCTCCTTCTAAGGATCAAAAAACACTGGTTGGGGGAGGTGGGGGCGGAGTGCTGGCTGGCTCACTTGGAGGAATCTATGACTCTTGATGTCGGGATCGTGAGTTCAAGCCCCACATTGGGTGAAGAGATTGCTTACGTAAAAAACAAAACAAAACAAAACAAAACAAAAACTAACAAAAAAACCCCGAACAAAACACTGGTCAGTCAGTGGCGAGAACCACAGGATGGCTCAGCCAGAGGTCGCCCCTGGCAGCCCCTGGAGCTTCTAGGTGGCAGGTGTAGAGCCTGGTGGGAGGATTGTGTCTGGCTGATGAACAGATGGGACCCTGAGGTCTGCCCCCTCCACACTGGGTGCCTTCTCACTCACAGGCTGCGGTCATATGGCTGCAGCTCCTGCTTCGCTGAGGGAGGTACGATGGCCGGGTGCGGGATGGCCGCGGGGTGACCAGGCACACCAGAGCCTAGCATCAGGGGCGGGTGGGTGAACCTAAAGGCAGAAGGAGAGTTAACACTGAGCCAGGAATGTATGGGCCAGACCTTGGACACCTGGCGGCCCCTGCACAGTACACGAGGACAGGGGCACACGCCACCCCCACGGGCTTGCACACAAGCACACAGCTACACACAAACACCTGCTCCCAACACATCACACAGACACACTGCATAAACCCACATACGTGTCATTCAGGTGGCTTTGAAGTGAGTCCTAAATAGCTTTGCAACCTGTCCCCTTACCTTATGCTAAACCAGCTCAGCCTCCTGAGCCTGTGGCTGCCCTGTGAGTCTCCTTCCTCTCCTGCTTGAACCCTCCAGGCCTCTCTCCACACAACACCCAGAGTGACCTTTGTAGGCGCCCGAGTGCTCTTGGCCACCCCTGCTGAAATTCTCTCACAGCCCCCCGAATAAAACCCAGGATCCTCCATGGGACCTGCCCCGCTGACACTATCCGCCCCATCCTTTCCCGTTTTCCATCACTTCACACCTCCAGCCATCTCCGACCAGTGCTGTTCCCCTTGGCCGCTTTACTCAGGACATGTGACTCTCTGTGAAGTTCTCCCTGCCCATGGCTCTGTTCGTGCTCTGTCCGTACCTCCCGCCCTGGGCTGTGAACTCCAGCAGGGCTGGACATGTCTGCTGAGTTCTTGTTCCATCCCTGGCTTGGCTCCGTCACTGAGGGGGTGAGTGAAGTGGAGGGACACACACACCCCTGTCACTTTGCTTTTCTGCTCTTCTGGGGAAACCACCGTAAGGGCCCGAGGTTGGAGACACATGGAAAAGGTGTGACCCGCCCTTCAGCAGGGAAGCACAAAGGGGTGAGTGCACGCACACGTGCACTTGGGCGGGCTCACGCACGCACAGAGGCAGGAGCACGAGCACACACGTGCGTGCACTGTCCCTGACTGCCCCAGGGCGCTTGGCTGCACGGTATGGCCCGGCCTCAGGCCTCTTGCTCTCCCCCTGGCTTCATTCTCAGGCACAGCGCAGCAGGGGGCTGCAGAAGGACGGACGGACGGCTGGACAGACAACTAGCACAGGGCAAGCACTGGCCTGGGCATGGCCTCGTGTGGGCACTGAAGCCTGGGCAACAGGAAGCAGGAGCCTGGCTGCAGGGTTCGGGACTCACCTGGGGTAGGGGGCGCCAGGGGCTGCAGTGGGGGCAGGGAAGTGCTGTCTATATCCGCAGGAAGGGGACAAGGGGTAGAGAGGAGGGCTGGGCCTGTGGTTGGGAGAGACAGCTGTTAGCAGTCTGGCTACTGGCCAGATGTGGGGCAGGACCTCCCCACCAGGTGCAGGGGATCAGCCTCTGTAGGACTCTCCAGCATGTGTACTTGGCATCTGCCACCAGGGGGCACGCCGTGCTGCTCTTTGCGCCACAGACTGGTCCTGGCGCTTAAGGGGCAGAAATGGCAGCATCCTCCTAGGACCCAGCTTAGGAAGCGCCCCCCCCCCCCCCCCAGCTCATCTCCAGCCTTATTTCTTGGTCAATATGGGATTGACATCTATCTGCCTTAGGGCTTCTGCATCCACTGTTAAAACGCCTGGATTATTTTGCCCCCTTTCGATTCCTGGCCTGCCTTCAGGCCCTGCTTGGCTAAATGACCTTTTCTCCTGAAAGCCCTCGAAATCCCAAGCTGGATGCGGCAGCCCTCTGGGCTCTTACAATCCCCACTGAAAGCACTAACACGGCCCTGTCACTGTCGGGCCTCTGGCAGATCGGGCCCAGAGAGGGGAGGGACCTGAGGGTCGGCCCGCGTCAGCAGTGCCGCTCTGGTGTCCAGAACCCCGCCTGGCCAGCTCCAGTCCTGGGGGCGTTCCTAGGGGGAGTCCTGATTGGTATTCAGAGTGGGGCAGTGTCCGAGGAGCATCAGGAAACGGAGTGAGCTGAACACCGATAAAGAGCACGTGGAAAAGGGCAGGCAGGTCTCAGGGTGGGCCTCTGGCCTTCCCTTTCTTCCTGGGAAACCATGCTTTCCTGCTGTTGGGCGACTGCCCCAGCCCAGAGACGCTGCAGACCTGTCCACATCACACTGTGGGTCACGAGCAGAGGGCCAACCAGCCTGCCAAGGCCCGGCTCCGGCGGAAGACGGGCCCTGTGGCCCACAGTCGGGCCTGCTGACTTAAGGTTCAGGCTGGCTTGGGCTGGCGCAGTCTTCACAGACTCTAAGGCTCTCTCAGCAGCTGGCCAGGGGCTTGGGCTTGGCGCCAGAAGGGGCACAGGAGAACTCTGCTCCTCAGGGAGCTCAGCCAACGGACCAGTCGGCAGGAGGCACTGACGGGAGTAGGAAGTAGCCCCTTGCCCACCACGTGGCTGAGAGGCAAAAGCCTGTCTCGTGGCCATTCACGTTGTCCCCTCCCTGTCCAGGCAGGTCTCCCTTTCCTTCCTTACCTACTCTTATAACCTGGGCAGCTCGCCGTGCCCCCTACCCCCACGCCACTCGAGGCTCCCAGACATGGAGGCCGAGTTCACGTGTGGCAGGACTGAGACCAGGAGTCAAGGGGAGTGCAGTGGGCCACCTGGGGAATGGACAGAGCTGCTGGACGGCCCCCAGTTCTGACACAGGGCTGGCAGCAGAGTGCTGGCAGAGCAGGGTGGAGGAGGAAAAGGACACGGCAAGTACGGGTCCCACCAGCGCAAGGCACCCCCTTCCCACCGGGCCCACACTCACCAGCTCACAGTGTGGGGGAGTTGTCCCATGCTGCCTGAGGTCAGAGAGTAGAAGCCAGAGAGGTCAGGGGTCTGCAGAGGCCTGTGAACTCCTACAGGGGAGAGGGGCCGAGTGAGTGAGCTAGCCTGACCTGGGACTGCACCCTAGAGCCTCCTGTGGGGCCTCTAAGACCCTCCCTCCATCTGCTGGAGGACCAGACATACTGGTTTGTTCAGGACTATGCCAGTGTGATGACAGGGCCCCATTTCCAGGGCAGAGAGGCTGGGTGACCAGCCTTAAGGACACTGGCTGGCCAGGGAGAGGTGGAGCCACTGAGGGGTGGGCAGGCCAGGCCTCGCCGTGCCCTGGTCCACTGCTGGTCTTCACCTGGGGCCTCTCGGCTGGGGGCTCTGGCCTGGCTTTGTGTACAGGACGCAGGCCCCCTGGCCTGGGCAGCCTGGGTTCCACCCACCCCTCTGCCTCCCCAGGGTTGAGTCAGCACGTTTCCCACAGCCGACAATGGCTGATTTCAGAATGACTTTCCCTGAGGCTGAGGTGAATCAGCCATCACAACCACCACTTTCCATTTTCTCACTGGGGGGAGGGAAAGGATACAAGTTTTATTGTCCTCAGCTTTACACAGATGCCTGCTCCCACATCCTGGCATTGGGAGGCCCCTCGGGATTAGGCTCCTACCTCAACCTGAAGCCTTCCAAGTCTGATCTGGCACCACCTGCCCTCAGGCTCCCCATCCACCTTTCTGGTGTTTTCTTTGGGCTTTGAGTTTGCCCAGCCCCAGGTTTTTCAGTTGTAAAAAGGGCCTAGCCCCTGGACTCAGAAGCTAGGGACTTGGCCCCCAGACTCTGGGGCTGCCAGGCCCCTCCCCTTCCCAGATCCGTACCTTGTTTCTGGCTGATGTCGGCTGGTGCAGGTGTAGGGTGGGGGCTGCTGAAATGTTCATAGAGAGGAGAGAGTTGTGGGACGCTGTGGGCTGGCTGACTGGCCTTGTTGTGCTGAAAAATGAGGGGGGTGGTGTGAATGTGGGGAGACCCAAAAGAGGAAGGCCCAGGGCTGGGGGCATACATATAGACAGAGCCTCTTTTAGCTGTGCGGGTAGCCCAAATGTCAAAGGAAAGTGGGGGTGGTTAAAACCACAGGCCTCAGGGAGGGGGCACCACTCAAGCCATCCTATGTCCAGTGGCCCTACCCGCAGCCTCCCACGCTTTGCTCAAGCAGCCCTACCACCTAGAGAGCCTCTTGGTTTCGACACACTCAATCCCAGAGGCACATCTCCCCTGTCCAGGAAATTCTTTCTGCCTCTGGGTCTGAGACACTCCCCCCTCGCCCCACCCCTCGTCCCCTGGTTTCTCTGAGGCCCTGTGGCTTGTCTGGGGGGCTGCTCACGGCCTCCAGCCCCAGACATCAGGTAATGGTCTCAAGACCTGGCTTACCCCAGGACAGCCTGGAGTTTTCTTTCCTCTTCCTCCAGCCCCCAGACTCAGGGTTTGGAGTCTGACCCACTATTCCACCTCAGGCTTCACAGGATTTGTGGGGACAGGGAAGGCTCCCATCCGCCCTTTGACGCAGAGCAGGTGGGCTAGGTGGGGCCAGGCTCCCTCCAGGGCCAGCCCACCCAGCCCCCACACTTCCCGTTTCCTCAGCAACACAGGACTCTTACTTTTCACACTAGTCACATGGATCTGTCATGAGATGACTCCTGCTGGGAAGGGGGCTCCCCATGCGACCCAGCCACAGGGAGGTGCTGCTCGGGGCCAAGGCACAGCTCTGCATATCCCCAGCGCACCCCTGCACAAGCCGGGATCCTGGAAACATCATCTACCACTGAGGCTCAGCTTCACTTGGAAAGTTCAGCACAGATGAGTGACTTCCGACTCACGGCACAGAAGCAGCAGGTCATCTTTGGAGCGGGACAGTAGTGAGAGGTTTTGGCCTGGGCTCCTTCCCAGGGTGCAGTTTCCCCCTGGGTGAATTCAGCCAGACTCCCTAACACCTCTGGGCTTCAGTTCCCGCTCTTGTGTAATGGAGTTCGTGATCCCTTCATCACCAGGTCCGGGGAAGCTCAGGAGCTCAGTGAGGAGGCCTGGCACAGGTCCCCTTGGGACTGGCTCTTTGGGGTCCAGTGAGGCGAGACGGAAGGCCAGGTATGCGCTGCAACTCAGCCAAGGTGGGAGGCTTCCAGGTGGGCACAGGCTCACCCCCCGCCCCCCGGCAGCAGCCCTGGCTGCGCTGTCCCCCACTCCTGCCTCCAGGGGAGCTTGAGGCGGGGCTCCTGGCCGCGGCACCCTTGCCTCGGGGCGCCACCTCTGCAGTCCCCTGGCCGTTCATCGGCCCACTGGGCGGAGCCTCACATCCTCCTGTCCTCAGGCAGACGGGGTGGTGTCCCAGCAGCGCCACAGCCCCCTCGTGAGCACCTCTAACTAGAGGAGCCCCCTCTCGGCGTCCTGGGGCAGCCCACGGAGGGCTCTCCCCTGTGAACTTGAGGAGTCGTCGGCTGGCCCCGTGCAGACCCTGGTTCGAACGTGTGTGGCCTTCCAAGAACGGACTACAGTATCTTGTCCAACGGAGAGGGTCACAGGGTTGCCCTTACGGGCAAAGGCACACAGTACCCGAGAGCTCGATTGCTCGGGTGTTGCGCCATGACGAAGGGACACGCAGGGAGCCCCTCGCGTGCACAAAGGAGATGCTGCTCACAGTCCTTCCCTGGCCCTGAGGTGCTGGCCTCACACGGGCCGGTTTTGGTCTGAATTTGCCAGAGGCCATCTGCCTGAGGATGGAAGACCCATGTGGCAGCCCATTGGCAACCTCAGCCCTGCAGGCTGAGGACGGGGCCATGGCGTCTCCAGGCCGTGGGTGCGGTGACTCTCCCGTTGCTGTTCTAAGGCAAGGCTCTCTGAGCCAGCTGGGGGGTCCGTGCCACACTCAGGACCCGGACACGACGGTGACAGAGCCGGAGCGCGTGTGGGCACGGGGGCAGAACGGAGGCTCCTCAGGCTTGCCGGCAAGCGCTGGCGGGACAGGAAGGGGCTGGGGCAGCTACGGGGTGAGGACACCTGTGGACCCCTTCATGACTGCGCGCCTGCCGCACGCCAGGCACTGTGCCAGGCAGGCTGCAAGGCCAGCAGCGTTCCCGCTAGGGTGCCCACGGGCTGCCAGTCCTCCCCGCTGTGAATCCTCCTCAGCCACCAGCTCGCGTCTGGTTCCCCTTCGTTGCGAAACGCACCTGCGCCATCCCCATCCTGGGCTCCTGTTCTTAGTCCCCGTGCCGCCTTTCAGCCTAGCCGTCCCTTGCGCCATCGCTTCACCAGATGGCTCCTGTCAAGGTCCCCAGCGACTGCCACACTGCTGAACTCAATGCTCAGCCTTCCTTTTACCTGACCTCTCGGCAGGACTGGACACAACTCATTTCTCCCTCCTCCCTGAAACAGTTTCTTGGCTTGGCTTCCAGAATGCCACACAAACCTGATTTGCCTCCAAGCTCACGGGCCGCTCTCTGTCGGCCTGCTTCCTGCCTGCCCACCTTCCTGACCTGACCCAAGATGGGCCCTCGGCTTTCCATCTCCCCTCATTCCCAGAGTGCTCTCATCCAGGGTCACAGCTTTCCATGTCTTCATCTGATGACTGACATTCCCATCTCAGCCCCTACTTGCTCGAGGGAACTCCACTCCCCAAACGCCTACTCACCACGTCTACTCAGAAGTCTGAAACGCTCCCCAAACTCAGTACGTCCAAAGCAGAGCCTCTGGTTTTCTGCCCCACATGCTGTTCTCCGTCTTCCTCAGTTAATGGCCACTCCCTCCTTCCAGTTGCTCAGATACCCTGGAGTAGTCCTTGACTCTCCACATCCCGCCTCCGGTCTGTCAGGCACCTGTCACCCGGACGACTCCAGTGGCCTCCTGTCCCCCCACCAGTCCTCCATCCAGCAACCATGTAAATCAGATCACAGCTCTCCTGCCCAGAGCCGCCCGCGCCCTGAGAAAACCTCCAAAGCACTGTGTGGTCAGGCCGCACTCCCTCCCGCTCTTCCCTGCTCACGCCCAGCATTTCCACGTATGCTTCAGCCTCCAGCTTCCTCCTCCAGCTGCTCTAGTGATCACTTTCAGGTGTGCCACGAGCTAAAGTGGGCAAGGGTGCTTAGGCTCTCTGGCATTTATATTAACCTTTTCGGTACAGGATCCTGGGCCAGTTTGCCCCTTGAATAATGACGATGAGAAAAGCAGCCCTGATTACCTCACTGATCAGATACAAAAATTCTGCCTTATCTTAGAATTTGGGGGAGCAGCAGCCGAGGGCCTGGGAAGCTTCTTACCCTGACAGGTCCCCAAGAGAGTGGTAGCCAGACATCATCAGCCCTGCCCAGGCCTTGTGACAGACAGGGCCCATTCCCTCAAGAACCTGGGACTCTGGTGGAAGGCATTCCACCATTCGCCACCTAAGGGCACAAACGCCTGGAGCCCTGGCCCAGAATGGAAACCCTCCACAGGTCCCTCCGGCCTGGGGGCTTTTGAGTGTAAGCTCCTGCTTCCGAGAAGGCCTTGCCATCTAGGCCCTGACTCTGGCTCTTGGGCCCCAGAACTGTAAGCCTGGCCGGTGGAGTGGGACCCCTGGAAGGAAGTTTTAGGACCAGAGCCTGGGGTCCAAGGTGCCAGCTTCAGGAAGACAGTGTCAGAGTTCCACTCTGCCCTGGAAGGGGGTAGGGCGGGTCTGCTCGGAGGGAGGGAGAGGGTGGCCCCACGGCACATTTCTCAGCAAACCCCCGTGCCTGGGGAGGGCTAGCTTTGGCCAGGAAACCACAGAGAGGCCACTCACCTGATGGAGGACCAGAGCTGACTGTCCTAGGCCAGGCTGGCTAAGCCTCACGGTGCGGCACAGCCAGGCCTAGGAAAACCCCGAATCCAGCTCAGCCTACAGCCTGTGGCCTGGGATGCATGTGTGGAACGGGTATTGAGGGGGTGGGAGGTAGGAGGTGTTGCCCGATGGGTCAGAGGGCCCTTCCTGTCCACCAGCCTTCCCTGGGAACTCGGGAAAAGCCTCTAATTAAACAGGAGTCTGCAGCAAAACCACAGGAGAGGTGCCAGGTGGGCAAGGGTGGAGCAAAGAGCCTGCCATTCGCTGGAGGCCTTGGGGTGGCCAGGGCTCCGGGGCAGGGCACTGAGGGCCTAGCCAGTCCTTCCCACGGTGATGCAGGCTGCCCCTCAGCCTCATTCCCCAGCCCCCTCCGTGTCTGCGCTGGTAGCCAGGGGGAACCGTCTGGCATAGGGCCCAGTGCCCCACGCCCCCCTCAGCCAGTGGAACGTCCCGCTCCACGGCCTCAGCACAAGGCTGTCCCAGGGCCAGGCCGCCCAGACAACAAGGTGGGGTTGCCTGGGGCCTGGCATGTGTACGGGGAGCCCCATGACCGGAGCCCCCCCCTCCTCCTTCTGAAACTGACCGCCCAGCCTCCACGGGAAGGGGGCAGGCCTGGGCCGGCCATCCCCACCAGGCCCTGAGTATCTCGACGCACAACCTCACCTGTCTTACCTGAAGGCAGAGTGCCAAGCACAGAGCTGCGCTCCCAGTAAGTGTTCACAACAGGGTGGAATGACTACACAAAAGACTCAACAGCAGTCCACACTCCTTGGTCAGGACGCTCCCCGGCCCATTATCTGCCTCTGCCTGCATGCCCCCATCTCACACTTGCACGCACGCACGCATGCACACACACACCAGAACGCAGCACTACACGACAGGTCCAGGACTCGGAGACCCTGGGGCTGGCAGGCCGGGTCCGCCACAGTCTCGACAGAAGTCATCCTTCCTGCTGGTGCGTGGCTTTTACTGCTCGGCACCCCTCCGACTCAAAATCCACTGTCCCGAAGGTGGTCCCCACTTTTCTGGGACACTTTCACTAGCCCATGGCTGGAAATTCCTCGCTGTGCTGCGCCCCCAGCATCGCTCCTCTCGCTGAGGAGCCCGAGCCAGGAGGGGGATCCAAAGGCAGGGCGGGGCGGGAGGA